ACTTGATTCTGATTGGTTTATTATTCTTTATGTATATGTAAGATCTCCCAAGTTTTCTCACTTTAACGTTGATGAAGATAGCAGGAGCTATCGAAATATCCGTTTGATTTTGTTATAGCTTAATAAATTTGTGTTCCGCATTGCTTTTGCATTTTATATATATATATATATATATATATATATATATACAATAGGCCTACATAATATATATATAATATATATATATATTTATTTATATATTTATATATGTATATACATATATATGTAATATAATAAAAGTTTGAAAGGCAAATGGGGAAAACCCATAAAACAGCAAACGGCCTTATAATGCAAAATAATTTAAAATTAAAACGGAACAGTAGAGAAAATCCGATCAGTGTTATTGGCAGTAGAACCCATCTTTTTGGACACCCCTATTAATGGTACACATTTTTGGCCAGGTATCAAAATAAAACATTGTAAATAATATACACCATAAGGTTTAATACATGTTTTATATACATATATATTACCGGTTAATTACCTCAATAAGGTTTATGAAATGTCAAGCTTTCGAAAAAAAAAAAAAAAGAATAAATAGTTTTAATTCATGGTTTCGTTTTCCTGTCTTTCGAAATGGGATGTCTCTTTTGTTTCATTTCGTACTTGAGACAAGCCTATGTGATTCTATTTTTTTTTTTAAGAAACAATGATTGCGGTCACAACAAAATTACAACAGATGGAAACAAGGCTCGATTGATTATTCTACGTTACTGTGTTTGCCTATATTGAGCTGCATTAACTACTTATTTAAATTGAGTGTCTCTGAATTATATGCCTGGCTAGAAATACCATGAACACAGGAGTTTGCACTCTGTGGGTTATTGATTTTGTATCTGATGAGTACAGACAAACAGAGCCTTGAGCGTATCTCGCCGAGAATGACATGTGCGCTATACAAATCTTATAACAAATAAATTAAATAAATAAAATTGCATCGATATCTGAGACAGGAAGCCAATTATCGATCTGCATTGACAGGTAATACAATAACTAGTTTCGCTACCGAGATCGATATATTTTCTGTTTCAAATAATGTCAAACACCTGTTGAGTATTCTCAAACAGAAATTGCATGTCAGCAGTATACTTATGGGTGCAATATTTACAAAATCAGAAATAACCAATCAGAACGATGGATTTTTCAAATAATGACGTCAAACAAATTGTAGGCCTATACTTTCTACCAATCGCATATTTGCTATCCTTTCGTGACCTAGTATGTTTATTATACTAATGGCACTGAGCAAATGTCGATCGAAACTGTAATTGAACCCATGCTGACGAGATAAATTAACAACGAATTTTTTCTCGAGCTCCTAATGAAGGATTTTTGGAATTCGCGGCCGTACTCACGAATGATTTTCCAACATGCACAGGGCCATTAAAATAAAGTATCTGTAATATATAGGGTAGGGAATATGGCTGTTTTAGTTGTTAATACAATTACTGTACTGGTTTTCGAATCAATCAATATCGAATGACATATCCAGAATTTTTCAAATGTAGGGGGGGGGGGGTCGTACACAGCAGTTTCAGAATAGATAAGTGAAAACACATGACATTGATATACATTGAAGTTTTTAAAATTTAAATTTATACTGGATCCGCACCTGACTGTAGCCAAAAGAGAGCTTTTCGATTTGAGGTCGTCTTATCGTGTCCACTGTGATGGTAGGTAGAATTGGCGTTACCCCGGTCCGCGATGAAGACGCTTCTACCATGAGCCCTACTACGAATTTTTGTCGAGTATATACAGTATTTAATCAATGACAATAATCTCAGAGGCGGCGCCAGTGAGGACAGGGGGATCGGGGATGTCACTTACTATTATACCTCGTTTGTTTGCTCTTTGGTTGTGGTTAAAACACTGCATTCTAAACGCTCTTACATTGTATTTCTTGTTGACTGGACAAACGTATTTCTAATATATTTATTATGAGGAGACTTCAGGAAAAAAATCACCACGTAGTAAGTTCCAGCGGAGCTAAAGTATAGGCCTATCTCTATATAAAAGTAGGCCTAGATACATTTTATTTTTAAATAGACAGCTTATAGTTTTAAATAGATGCTGAAATCACCAAAGTGTGCAATCTACCAAGTATAATGAGCAGCACAAGTGATCAGAGTGTTCACTCCACCAAATTAAATGGGTAGCACCTTCCTTTACTAATAAATGAACTTGAAACTTCTTATGAATATGAATGAAACTAAATAAAATAATAGTCCATTCACTTCTTGTGAATGTGAATGAACTAATTTTATTTATTAATAATTTATTTTATTATTCACCTGCATGACAGGTGTCTCTTATACACATCTAGAGTAAGATATTAAGTAATTGTTTACAGTAAAATGTTTCGTAACACACACATGGTGTGCCACTCTTCAATATTCGCTCTGGTTTACCATAAATATATATGAGTGCGTGTGTATATATATATTTTATATAGGCATATGTATGTATATATATATATATATATATATATATATATATATACTACATATATATGTATGTATGTATGTAGCGTATATAAGAACTAATTTTATCTGTTAATTATTAAAAATAAATATGTAAAATTCCCAACTCCATTACTGTAATCCATACTATTTATTAACAGTACATTTGATATAAAAATACATATTGAAATTAACATTTATATTTTGATTAGTATTCCCAATACTACAGTGTAAAAACAATTAACATAACATTACAATTTACAAAGACTTAAGTGTTGCCATCATTCATAATTAATAAAAAGCATGTGTAAACATTCTTTTAAGTCTCTAGCTACAATTATTTATAAAGGTTGATATCTGAAGGGAGCAGACGAAGGGGACGTCGGCTTAAGGCCAACTCAGACAGCGTCGTACGAAGCAGCCCTAGGTGATCGGGCCTGTGTGAGTTAAACCCAGACACGATGGTGTGCGTCGGTGGCTGTCGCATCGTAGAATATTAAACATGTTTAATATTTCTCACGACGGGTTAAGACTGTCCCCGACGATAAATCGGGTCGGGCTGCGTCGGCCGACGCTGTCTGAGTTGGCCTTACACAATGGATGCAGCAAATCACCACTAGCAAAGGAAAGAGTCTTGCCGATCTAAAGTACTTGACACAGACGAGATCTCTGTGGAGGAAAATCATGCTTGATGTCACCAGGTGTCGACTACGACCTGATGGACGCAGATGATGATGATGATGATGATATAAAGCAAAGTCAAGCCTCACTGCCTTTCGACCTTTTATTAAGCCTTTTCCAGGCTCAAATTTTATTTTACAAAAATATGTGACGTTCCTAAATATGGTCATGATGACATCCCATAATGACTATTTATATGGGCATACAACAGTTCTTGGTCAAAGAAATTGTTGATAATCTGGAGAGAGGTTTAGATCGTCATCAGAAATATCCTACGTTCATTCCTGTAGTTATGTTTTATAATACTTTATATATTTTGTATTTTATGTTTACTAAAATATACTTTTATCTCTACTATAAATCCTCGAATAAGTGCCGCTCAAATAAGTGCTGCTCTCAAATATGCGTTGCAGCAAACATGATTTTTCTTTTCGCAAAGCGCTGCTCTCGAATAAGGTTTACTCTATTTTGAATATACATTTTTTCTTTTACACTATTTTTGAGTACATTAATTACCCTGTTTGTAACATTTTGAGAAACTGGGTTTTAAATACAATGTATACAGGGTTCAAATGAATAACACAATGAGGACACAAGCATATCTTTATAAACATATATTTCGATGATGTAGGGCTAATGATAGGTAAGATATGTAACATGGGAATGGCATGGAAAGCGCCACCTAATATTTTTGAGAGCGCTGCTCACGAATAAACACCGCACTCAATTAAGCGCCACACTGATGCCTCCAACAATTGTATAAGCGTCGCAGCGCTTATCAATTTTTTGAGGATTTACAGTAGTTGATTCTATTTGATTCCCTGTCTAACCTTCGTAACTGACCTAAATATCTTCTACCATTGTGACTTTAATTGATAAACATGGATCAGGCCTTCTTGATTACATATAGCATACACCACGAATATAAATCCGAAACCAACCCAAAACTAAATAACATAATACAGTACTAGTAGAGAGCCTGGTGGATAAGATGCTTGATTTAGCCGCAACCCACAAATTATTAGCTTAAGTATAAAAATTATATTGAGTTTTTAAACAAAAGTGTACCCTAATATATATATGCTGGATGATAAAAATAATTAAAATGCTTTTATTGACTGGAAGTGTTTCTATAATTTTTTGCTGTAAAATTATGTGTAAACATTTTTTTTAATACAATAATCTCTATGTTCAAGTTGATAATTTTCATGTTGAGCAAGTAAATTTATTTATTAAAAATAAATTTTTAAAATTATTTTTATAATGTCATGAGACAATGCATCTTCCAATATTCAGGTGGTTACATCAGTATTATTATAAATAATGCCTTCAAACCCGTGGAATGTATAATTTTCCATTTATTTTTTAATCATTGCTTGCCAGGTGGAGCTTAAAGACATTACTATCTTATGTCTCTTCATGTGGCTGCGGTTACTTCTTTAAATTTCCAGAGTCGTAAATCTTGGAAACAAGAGCATAAAGACCACCGACCAGAATTAAGATAACGAGCATCATAGTTATGAGAAGAGCAATCCACACG